TTTTTTGTCTCTTTTGAGAAGTGACTTATAAGTTATTTTATTTATTTTTTAACTTATTTGAGTTATATTACTTTTTTTAATTATTTTTTGCATGTCTTTTTATAGTAAGTAAAAAAGAGATTCAGGCTGCAAAGATCTGTGGTGCTCCGGTGAAGAATTTTTTCGAGTCTTTTTCGATAATTCGAACCGTTTATATTGTAGGGTCCATCGAGTATGTTATTCATATAAAAAATCAAATCAATTAGAAATCCGCAACCCAATGACTAGATTCAAATTGTTTTACAAAAATTATAAAGATCATGTTAACTATTTATTTTTTAAAAAAATAAATATGCTATTGTTATAGAGTTATAGATTTTTAATCAATTTTATTTTTCGTATGGATGATCTATTCAAATAACCATATAATATAAATAGTTTGAATTATTAAAAAATATTCGAAATTTTTTTCTACCAGGACATCATAGATCGTTGCTATAAGTCATAGCAGCATCCCTTGGTCTGCAAAAAAGGCAACTTATTTAGGGTTTGTTTGGAAAGATCACTTGACTAAAATAGTCATATAAGACAAAATAGACTATTTTAGCCAAATAAAACAAAACGTCACATCTAACCTATAATTATTTCATTTTTTTCTTACAAAAGTAAAAAAAAATCAAAAAATCTATCCCAAATGAGGTTTTTTAGCCCCAAGCTAAAATAGTGAAAAAGTCTAAAAGCTAAAAAGCTAACCCACATTCCAAACGAGGGCTTAACACTTCTCAAAACAATTATTGGGAGTTTATTTCTTTTCTTATTTTTGAGTTTTTATACACAAAAATGTTTAAAAAATAAAATAAAATAAAATAAGTAAAATGCCAATTTATAATAATTCTTAAATTTTTACGTTCAAAATAAAATTCCTAAACAAAACCTAACTAGTTCCCAGACTTGCCTTCAACCACATGTTAACAATAAGGTGGTGTTTGACAAGTGGTTTTGGGGCTAAAATAGCCACAAAAAGTAAAATAGGCTATTTTAGTCATAACAAACAAAATATCACATCCAACTTATAATCATTATACTCTTTTCCCACAAAAAAAGTTAAAAAAGCCAAAAAGTCCTTCCCAAACCAAGCTTTTTAGCCTAGGCTAAAATAGTCAAAAAAGTCAAAAAGCCAAAAAACCAGCACACTTCCCAAACGGAGGCTAACACCCTTTGAGATTTGGTCAAATCATATTTTATTTATTAATTTTTTAAAAATTATATTTTCATTCTTGTAGTTAATAATCTTATTTTACAAATTTTTCTACTCATATAAAAGATAACAACTCCTAATAAAAAATTAAAAAAATTACATTGAAAAAATAAATAAATAAAGCAAAGGAAAAGAAAAAGAAAAAGAAAAAAAAATTAAGGAAACAAAACAAAATAAGAAAAGAGAGTGCAGTTATTTTGTTTAAATAATTATAATAATAAAGAATTAACATAATTTTCTAAAATTTAAGTACTGAGGTGGTTATGGATTCAAGTCAAGAGACAATCACTTTGTACACTACATTAAAGTTTAGATGTGTATCTATTCTTTCTCGTTTTAAATACACATTAATGTGTACTAATTGAGCGTTATTTTTTAATAAATAATGTTATATGTATCAGTTGGTACACTAATTTAATGTGACACAATTTAAAAGATTTTTAGTATTTATTATATAATTAATGAATAGAATGAATAATAATATCATAACTAATATTAATATATTAATTATTACACTAATTAATACATTTAATACCACTGTTTTTTAATAAACATGAGAAAGTACAAAGTATAAGCCAGGTGACCCCACGTTCAAAAAAAAGAACTGTTCCGTACATAACCGTTTTTGACTTTGAACCACGCATAATATTTTCCCGCGCAACGCGTCTTACTTTGAGTCTCTTTTTCATAAATAAATACTAAATAGTAATAAATAAAAAATCTCATGAGTTGGGAATTTTGACATATCTCCTCCAGTCATATTTATTTATGTTATCATTTTGTTTTTATTTTTATAAAAAAATAAAGAAGGTAAATTACACTAATTTTCTATGAGCATTAATGAAAATTTTTAATATAATTATATTGATATTTTTTTTAATAAGAAAACATAGATAAGAATTAATGCAAATGATTTGGAAATATAATAAATAAATAAATAAATATATATATATTTTCTTGTAAAAAATAATAATATTTTTTTTATCCACATGCAGTTTATTGAGCTTATTTTGAGATTTTTCTTGATTATTCGAATTGTTGATTTTTTTTTTATAAAAAATCAAGTTCATTAAGTATCGGTTAGTCTTTTCATTAAATTACATTTATCTATTTATTTATTTGATGAAAGATGTATCAATATCTGATTAATTTAATTTTTTAAAATATGTTCTAAAAAATAAATAGTTTAAATTATCGAAACGAGCTCCGAAATATGTCCAATAAGCTGCAAAAAGTCACCACAAACCCTTTAAGACATGATGTAAATATTTTAAAATTATAAGATTTGTTACATTTTTTTTTTAACTTCAGTAAAAGCATGATGTAAATATTTTAAAATTATAAGATTTGTTACATTTTTTTTTTAACTTCAGTAAAAGCATGATGTAAATATTTTAAAATTATAAGATTTGTTACATTTTTTTTTTAACTTCAGTAAAAGCATGATGTAAATATTTTAAAATTATAAGATTTGTTACATTTTTTTTTTTAACTTCAGTAAAAGCATCAATCTCAATAAATTTTAAGTCAAATTATAACTAAAAAGTTAATTTTCTATTTTAGGTAACATTTTTTGTATGTACACACTACATCAGACTCTCTATTTTAAAATTAATTTTTATAAAATATTCATTTTGTATTGTTAAAAAGCAGCCAAAGTAGTATAGGAGAAGTTAATTTCGTATTATTATATATGCAATTTCATACTTAAAAAAAAAAAAAAA